CCACAATTTGTGGCATGTCCATGCTAGTTTCAGTGGAAATAGGAGCTATATAAATCTGTAGTTGCCCCCTCCTTTACCTGACAGTAGCAGTGCTGAAGCATAATGCAACCTGCCTCTGTGTTCAGCTGGGATAGGCCACCAACCTCTTGTTGTTAAGTTTGTCTCTCTGAAAGGGAAGCTGCACTGAATTAGAGAGTGCTGATACTGAATACTGTTATTGAAATTCTGAACAAGGAAAATTGAACACCAGAGCAAAGAGATGACTTCACAGGGACTGAAGAGATGGACAGGATGGAAAATGCCAGGAGGTTCACAAGGACTGTAATGAAGGTTAGCGAATGCATCTCCTCACCACATTCACTCAGTGTACCCAATGCTTGCTGATTTGACATTTAAGAGCTTAAGGAAAAAGATAAATCGATCATTCAGCTACTCTTGATCTCTTCCCATGTCTCTGAAATCACAAACACTGTATCCTACAATTTATCCATCTCAGTCTTGAATTCTCAAGGAGTGAGCATCCATAGCACTGTGGGTTGGAGAATATTCACAATTGAGTGAAAGAATAGTCAATCCCTTGCTGAGAGAATGTGGCTCTAGTTCTAGGCTACCATGCCGAGGGAAATATCCTCCCTTGCGAATGTGATATGTTTCAATGACACCAACACTTATTCTTCTAAAGTTGGAGAAATAAAGATCTAATCTCCTCAATCTCTGCATAGAGAACAATCTCCTCATCCTCGGAAGTCAATCCAGTGAAATTTCATTGCACTTCCTTTGAAAGCCTGCAATTCCTTTCTTTGGTGAAGGGACCAAAACTGCAGGTGCTGTTCCAGATAAGGCCTGAATTAAGTTCTGTATAAATGTAGTAATACCTCTTTACTTTTAAACTCCTTTGTAATGAAAGATAACATTTCATTTGTATTCCTGACTACTTTCTGTAATCACTTGTTGCCATACTGTAATCTGTGTACAAGGACACCCAAGAGCCTAGGAACCCCAACACACACCCTTTCCTCCTTTAAAATACGTTGTTTTTCTGTTTTTAGTGCAGAACTTGAATATTGATGAAAGAGAGACATTGTTAAAAAATTTTCTCTTGCACTCAGGAAGTATATCAGCTTCAGAAGGCCTTCAGATTTTATAATTGCACTCCCAAAGATTTATAATATTTGGCTCCTTCTCCAGTTTGGATCTGTTTACTGGTTAATGTAATGCAAGCAGAATAGTTCTGATTGTGCATTGGCAAGTGAGCAGGTCACAAACTTGCTACTATAAAAATGACCATAGATACCAATACAGTTGGTTGGGATGTGTTCCCAGTCATATTACCTCTAACCAAATCAATCCCAACACTGTAGTGCCTGTCATGGGGCTGTTATTATCAAGGAAATTTAAAAACTTTACTTTGCAAAAGTTTTTAACATATAATAATTTTGTTTCACATTCACTCTCAAAAAGATGATGTTCCTTCAAGAGCCCAGTAATAAGTGTGAGAATAGATATTAGTGCTCCTTTCAGAAGATGAACTCAAAAAAACTCTCTCATCCACAAGCTGCTCATGATCTATTCGAACTTCCTTTACTGAAGGATATATTCCACATCCAGTCTTTGCAACAGCATATGTTTATCATGATTTATGTAAAACCGAGATTAGAAACAAACTAAATCTGACCCAATAGTTTCAAACGTATAGTTTGCACACAGTTTTGTTTCTTGATTTCTGATATTCTTGGAGGGTCATGGTACCAGCAAAATTGTTAACTAATGGACAGATATCCTTTCTGATTCAAAACTGGCTTGTAGGAAAATGGATATCTCTTTACTTGTTCAATAACAGAATGAAATTTAATAGTCTATGATGATAGAAACTTGGAACAAACACAAGTATATCTGATAAAGGGTCTAGGCCCAAAACGTCAGCCTTCCTGCTCCTCTGATGCTGCTTGGCCTGCTGTGTTCATCCAGCTCTACACCTTGTTATCTCAGATTCTCCAGCATCTGCAGTTCCTACTATCTCTGATACAAGTATAAGCAGCCTGTTTCTGAGCTATTTATAATCTATCCCCCTTTTTTTCAGTTTTGCATGCCCAAGCAAAGGAATTGTTTAAAATCTGGCTATTTTTCATGAGCAAACTCTTCAATTAGCAAGTACACATTTATTTGTTTAGACTTTATTATAAAATTAACTAAACTGTTTCATGTCAATTTTAATTTTGAAAGTGTAATCCCAATTTTAGGTAAAGTAACCTATATGATATGAAATTCCAACAGGCATTCAAAAGAATTCACATGATCATTATTTATAAATACAGAACTACCAATATAAAAGGAATGTTAGAAGTGACATTTATGATTTATAATTATTATGTTGTATATTTTGTGAACTGATTTTGTAAATATATGAAAAAGTATTAATTTTATGAAACACGTTTAAAATGTTATTGTTTAAGCAGAGATGAACAGTTGCTATTCCCAAATAATAAAAAATGGCATGTTGATAGACAAAAGAAATACAATTTTGCCTAAACCGAGCGTACTCTATAATTGAATAGCAGTGCCATCCCACAACTTCAGTTTTATAAAATTCACAGTCTGAAGTTATTTCAAAGTAACATTATTTAGTAGTGATTGATTGACACAGATAAATCCAGAAATATTTCAACATTGTTCCTTGTTGATTCATGCAGATATTGCTGCACAACTGTTTAAAATGATAAATGTGCAATTTAGAAGTCAGTATCTAAACTTAAAAAAATACAACTGGTTGTTTTGAATGTAATGGTATGTGTAGAATTGATCAATTTGAATGTAACATTATTTAGCTTTCACTTCCTAACAGGGTGTCTTTACAAATACACTGCTTCCTGCCCTTGGCACTCCAATCTACATGAATTTACTTATCCAGAATGGGACTACTCTAGTACCTGCTACCTCAAGTCCTCACCAAGCTCCATTGATCCCAGGTGCTCCTATAAGTCAACTTCAAAATTATTAATGCTATCATCAAATGATCTATAGATTTAGTCCACCACGCTCGGTGACCACTTATAGCATCACATCCCTGTTTGCACCCTTCGCTTTTTTAAAATGGATTCATCCCTCATTAGCCACAACATCTCTTTACTTGGTCTCCACCCACATTACCTTCAAAACCACAACTGAAACGCTTTAAACAACTGCCTTATTGGATCTTCTTCTTAATCCATTTCATCCTGTATCCTTTTCACCTGTCCATTTTCAATCATGTATTTTGCAATATCTTTCTGAAGTGAAAGTGCAACATAAGTTACAGCTGTTATTTTAAGGTACATTTTTCAGAAAGTTAAATAAATCTAATTAACTACTCATAATATAAGTGCTTAAAATGATTGTTACACTGCCTCAGAGACTTGCCAATCATTCTTAACAGTGCATATAGAAGAATTTAGCTAATGTGAATTCAGTCAGTCCATAAGCAGCAGCCTATAGTATAAAACAACATTCCAGTTGAGGTATGTGGGAACAAGGGGCATAAGAGCAGGAATAGGGCATTTGGCCTACTCCATCATTCAGAACGTTCATCATTGATCTGGTTCTAGTCTCAATTGCTCTTTTGCCACTGTAGTAATTGTGACCAGGTGGACCTCATTAACTAAAAGATCCTTGATCGGGATTGTTAACCTGGGCCAAATGGGAAAGCTCTGGCTGATAACATCACCAGGAGATGAAAATCTGCTCAGTTGATCACTAACTCCAAGCTGGCTGGTCACAGCCAGTGTGTTGAGCATGAGTAAATAAAGGGTGATGTGACATGGCCTCTGTGTGCAGTTATTTCACCTACATTCTCTCACACACCAATAACCCTAGACTCCATTAACTATAAAAAGTCTTTCTAATTCAGCCCTGAATAAAAGTAAAGACCAAGCCTCGGTTACCTTCCAGGAAGGACAGTTCCCCAAAATTCTCTGTGGGACACAGAAACACACGGTGGATATTTGATATCTTGTGACCGGTACTCAATTCCTATGGTTGGATGTTATATCAGAAGTAGGAAGGGAGCAAGGAAGTCCACTTAGGTCAAGAACGTCAGAAGACCAGGTTTCCCACGTGTCCCATCTCATGGATCAGGAACAGCCAATAACAACCTTTTCTCCCTGTCTCCTGGCTGTAGCGAGCCTATCTGAGAAGCTGGGTAGTTGGTGGTTGGGGAAGTAAGTATTGAGAACGAGGCTGTGGCAAGGGAGTGTAAGGGCACTGGCTAAGATCAGGCAGGACTGGGGAATGGAAGAAGAATTTTGGATACAGCAAGTGTTGGGAGATAGGGGTCAGGGGAGTTAAATTTAAATTCATTGTTAAATATGAGGCAGGTACGTAAATTGTCCCTTATCCTAATTCTATTAACACAAGGTAGGTGCATTGGGATCAGAATCCAATTTTACATATTTAACATTCTATTTAACCTAAAGCTGTCTATTTCTTTCTGGTTTAAAAGGTCTCTGTTACCTCTCAACTAGGACTGCAGATTAGATATTTGCAACAGGCAATAGTCTAGGGTTGAATATTGTTTGAGCCCAGAGCTGATATTGGCTCAGTTTAGAACCAGAAATAACAGGGCCCCATAGAAATCAGATACAGCCACTGATTTCTCCTGTAAGGATTCATTTCAGAGAATTTCCTTAAATAGGCAATAATCTCAACTAAGAACACATCTTTCATCAAGTGTGCTTTCAAACCAACTCTGCAATTCAGCCAAAGAACAAGCACTTATTGTTTGTAATTACTGCTGTTGTATTTGCCATGATCATAGTGACCAGGGTAATTATACACCAGGCCATTCAGAGAACTTAAAAATCTTGAGAGTGGTTGACAATGGGGTCATTTTAAATCTCAGAGTCTACACTGACAGATAAACAGTGAAACAGAGTATTAGTCAACTTCTAAGGATCAAATTAGAAAATAATTCATTCAGCAAAAGGATGCTGGTTGGTCTCAGTGCATAAAATTCTACTCTCACTTACTTGTATTAAGCAGTATTAAGGTTTTCATGCACAAAAATTCCTCTTGGGTCACTTGAAGATGAATGAATTCTTGTGAGATTTGTCGCATTGCTATACACAGATCATACATTGCAGACTTCTGCATTCGCTGCCTGAAAAAGATAACCATCAAAGTAAAATGCAAACACAAAAACTACACGACGCTCCCAGCTCCAGTTATTTCCCAGAATTAATTATCAAACAGAAGAGTAAATCCTATCCTCTAATCACAGCGTGCTGGGATACATAGAGGTCCAGTTCCAATGGTGTCAAAACCAATTCTTGTAATAGCACGGAAGTTGTATCTTGATCCAAGGACTGCAAATAGTCAAGACAGTGGCTCAATGCTGCAATTGCGAGGTCAACTAGGGATGTGCAATATATACTGGCTTAGCCATCAATGCCCACATTGCAGGAGCAAATCAAATTTAAAAAACTGACTTTGTTCCATCTGATAGTATATCTGTGTCTACATCTTTTGAATGATTTTTTATTGCCCAACATTAAATTTATATTCTTTCAACATAAAGATGCAAAGGATTGAGAACTGAGACTTGAGGACTTTAGATGTACATTGAGATGTTATTGGAATGTAACCAATATATAGAATATCCACACAGAATACTTGTAAACCTTCTACTTCTCACTTAACCAAAACCAGTGCACCTATTGAATACTAAAGGACGATATGGAGCAAAATGGGAACAACTGCAGCCTGCTGGATGTTCTGCTAAGGGTGTTTATTATGTGTCTGCTTTTCAGATACAAATTGACCTTGCATTGTAATGTTGTGGTGCTGCAATACATTGTGCAGAATGCAATGGAGATGCCCTAACATCAACTATCCAGTGACATCAGCTTTGAAAGACTTAAACCTCTGACTTTACCGAGTAAAGAACACGCTGGAAACAGACACTATCAGCTCCACTCTAGGTGGTGGCTTTGGAGGTCCTGTTGTGGGAACATGAAGCTTTATTAAACAGGTATCATTCTCCAGTGAAGAACATTAACACAGCAGACTGGAAGAAAATAGTTGAAAGAGTGAAAGCCATCTTATCTGGACAAGCCTCTAGATCAAGTTAAAATGAAAATTCTGAGCATTGATGAAATGTCATCAACCTCAAAAGTATACCATTTTGAATAGTATTGTGGAGGACAGCCTCTACGGGGAATTTAGCAGCAGCTGCCAGGTCTGTGGCACCATGACTGGCTCTGCTATAAAACAGGGCATGGCAAAGATCAAGCAAGCAATTGTGATAGAGGGCTCTCTAGTCAGACAAACAGACTGGCATTTCTGTGGCCACAAGTGAGATTCCAGGATGGTGTGTTGCCCCTCCCTGGTGTCAGGGTCAAGGATATCTCACAGCGGTTGAAGTCAATTCTCAAAGTGGAGCATGAGCAGCCAGAGGTTGTTGCACATATGGGTACCAATGACATTGGTAGGAAATGGACTGAAGTCCTGCAGAGTGAATTTAGGGAGTTAGGCAGGAGGTTAAAAAACGGGACCTTAAGGGAAATAGTCTCTGGATTGCTCCTGATGCTATATGCTAATACGAGTAAGAATAGGCGGATAGGGCAGATGAATGCATGGCTGAGGAGTTGGTGCAGGGGGCACAGATTCAGATTTTTAGATCATTGGAATCTCTTCTGGGGCATAAGTGACCCATACAAGAGGGATGGGGTGATCTGAACTAGAGGGGGACCAGTATCCTGGAGGGCAGATTTGGTGGAGCTACTCAACAGGGTTTAAACTGATCTGCTGGGGGAGTGGGGGGGGGGGGGTGGTGGCACCCAAACAGTTGTGCGACAAAAGTAAAGATTGAGGCTAGTACAGAAGTTAGAAAGCAAGTTAGATAGACAAGGTAGGCAAGAGCACAGCAGGGAATGAGGGAAGACTGATGAATTAAACTGCATTTATTTCAATGCAAGAGGCCTGACAGGTACAGGAGATGAATTCTGGGCATGGTTGGGAACATGGGACTGGGACATCATAGCTATAACAGAAGCATAGCTGAAGTAGGGACAGGACTGACAGCTCAATGTTCCAGGGTATAGATACTAAACAAAGGATAGAAGGGAATGCAAGAGAGCAGGGGTAGTGGAATTTTTGATTCGCGAGAACATCACGGCAGTACTTAGAGAGAATATTTCTCAGGGATTATGCAGTCAAGATATATGGGCGAAACTGAGGAATAAGAAGGGGGTGATCACTTTGATGGAATTGTACTACAGGCCCCTCAATATTTAGCAGGAAATTGAGGAGCAAATATGTAGGAAGGTTGCAGATAGTTGTAAGAATAATAAGGTTGTAAAAGTCTTGGATGTTAACTTTCCAAATATAGACTGGGTCTGCTGTAGTGTTAAAGTCTTGAATGGGAAGGAATTTGTTAAGTGTGTTTATTATGAACCAGACCAAACCCCCTCAAAACATGTCAAGGAGATAGCCTAGACCCTAACATTTTCTTATTTCAAAGACAAGTACCAGGCATTGTGTTCCAGATGCAATTTGATTGGTCAAACTATTAGGCTTGATGCAAAATACACTTCATTCATAAACTATGGCTAAAAAAACAAAAGAAAGAAGTATTGGAATAACATAACTCCATTAGAAAACTCAACAGAATAACAGATTATTTAATGACTAAACAGCAACTCTTCCCATACAGTAACATCTCAAAAACACAACCTTGGAAAAGGTAAATTCAGTAAAATTGATTATCTCAAATGCAATTCTAGCAGCAGGAAAAGAACCCCAGCTTTTAGTTGTAACAGAGAGAGGAATAAGAGCTTCCACATTCAGCTTCAAGACTCCAGCAACTGCTGAAAGCTAAAACTAAAAATCCTGGCTCTGTGACAGCTTGACCACACCCATTCAGGCTGCTTCTATTGTTCTAACTTCAAAAAAAAACCCCAACACCTTACTAGCTGTTTCCTGTATTAGCTTGAGCAGACAGCTTGTCACTTCTGTCTCAAACTTTTCTTCATTAAAAAGAACCCAGGATAAAACAACCTCTTAAAGCCACAGCATCATCACATCTCCTTCTTTAAAAATGACCATTAATATATAAAGATGACTTCACTTTTAAAAAACATCAGCCATGTGCTAATATTACACTATAATACATATACATTACATTGATTCCAAGCATGCAAACATTTGTTACTTTAGCCCATTTCAATCCGTTTTTGTCCTGCGACTGAACATCTCTGTCTTCTTTTATCAATGTCATGACAATGTGTCAGCACTTATATTCTCTCATCCTGCTGCCTGTATAATTTTCAAATTAAATGGCTGCAATAATAAGCACCATCTAAACAGTCTGATATTTTTATGCTTAAATTTTCTAAAATGTTTTAAGGGATTATAATGAGTATAAACAATTGTCTCAGAGACATATTGACAATATAAATGTTGAAATGCTGCAATACCAACACTAAACTCAAGGTCTCCTTCTCGATTGTGGGATATTTCTGTTGATGATTATTCAATTCTCTGCAAAAATACCTATTATGTCTTTCTATCTTCTCATCGTCTTCTTTCAAGAGTACAGCACCGATACCCACAGCACTCGCATTGATAGCCACCTTGAATGACTTTGCGTAATTAGGTGTGGCTAACACTCGGGCAGTGGTTAACACAGCTTTCAGGCTGTCAAATGCTTTGTGACATTCCTCCATCCACTGGAACTTTTTACACTTTTTCAACAAGTCAGTCAGTGGAGCAACCACACTGCTAAAGTTTGGTACAAACTTTCGATAAAAACCGCTCGGTCTCAGGAATTGTAGCTCTTCCCGCTTCGTCAATGGTATGGGAAACTACCCAGTAACCTTTGTTTTCACATTCTGTAGGGCCATTTACCCATGTCCAATAACATGGCCTAGGGATGTGATTTGGGCTTTTGCAAACTCAAAGGAAAGGAGAGGTCACCCTGTTGGGAGTTTTCTATAGGTCTCTGAAAAGTTCCAGAGATGTAGAGGGAAAGATTGCAAAGATTATTCTGGATAGGAGCGAAAGTAACAGGGTAGTTGTTATGGGACTTTAACTTTCCAAATGTTGACTGGAAATGTTATCGTTCAAGTATTCTAGATGGGTCAGTTTTTGTCCAATGTGTGCAGGAGGGTTTCCTGACACAGTATGTAGATAGGCCAACAAGAGGCGAGGCCACATTGGATTTGGTACTGGGTAATGAACCAGGCCAGGTGTTAGATTTGGAGGTAGGTGAGCACTTTGGTGATGGTGACAACAATTCGGTTACATTTACTTTAGCGATGGAAAGGGATAGGTATATACCACAGGGCAAGAGTTATAGCTGGGGGAAAGGCAATTATGAGGCGATTAGGCAAGATTTAGGATGCATAGGATGGAGAAGGAAACTGCAGGGGCTGGGCACAATTGAAGTGTGGAGCTTGTTCAAGGAACAGCTACTGCGTGTCCTTGAGAAGTATGTACCTGTCAGGCAGGGAGGAAGTGGTCGAGTGAGGGAACCGTGGTTTACTAAAGAAGCTGAATCTCTAGTCAAGAGGAAGAAGGAGGCTTATGTAGAGATGAGGCGTGAAGGCTCAGTTAGGGTGCTTGAGAGTTACAAGTTAGTCAGGAAGGACCTAAAGAGAGAGCTAAGAAGAGCCAGGAGGGGACATGAGAAGTCTTTAGCAGGTAGGATCAAGGAAAACCGTAAAGCTTTCTATAGGTAGTCGGGAATAAAAGAATGACTAGAGTAAGATTAGGGCTAGTCGAGGACAGTAGTGGGAAGTTGTGTGTGGAGTCTGAAGAGATAGGAGAGGCGCTAAATGAATATTTTTCGTCAGTATTCACACAGAAAATAGACAATGTTGTCGAGGAGAATACTGAGATACAGGCTATTAGACTAGACGGGATTGAGGTTCATAAGGAGGAGGTGTTAGCAATTCTGGAAGGTGTGAAAATAGATAAGTCCCCTGGGCCGGATGGGATTTATCCTAGGACTCTCTGGGAAGCTAGAGAGGAGATTGTAGAGCCTTTGGCTTTGATCTTTATGTCATCATTGTCTACAGGAATAGTGCCAGAAGACTGGAGACTAGCAAATGTTGTCCCCTTGTTCAAGAAGGGGAGTAGAGACAACCCTGGTAATTATAG